GTCAGTTGTCAATGACTTGTCAGCATCCTCCTCCCTTCCCACATAAACGGATTATGCAAGGTAACTTGTTTTATACAAAACTGAATTAATTGTACCTTTTTTAAAATTTTCGACATCAAGCATAACTGGAGTCTGTCAGAAGTGCCTATTTGGAACAGCGGGCGATCACTGCGAGAAGTGCTTGCCAGGTTACCGACGAAACGTAAAGAAGGCAGAGGAGGGCACTTTGGTAGAAGGTAGTGTCGAGGTGGAGACGACGTACGCGCGCGGCTGTCAACCGTGTTATTGCGACCCGAGGGGTACCCTCGCCATGCCTGGTGTTAAGGGAGGTCTTGGCATCTGCAACGAGGAGACGGGTCAGTGCCCATGCAAACCTGGCGTCACTGGCCTCCGATGTGATCGCTGTCGCGACGGCTTCTACGGTCTCGAATCCGGCAAGGTTCACTGCCTCAATTTTTCCTCTTTATTGGCTCGATTAGGCAATGGGGATAAATACTAATTACAAATTAGTTTTGAGCGTATGCATCAAACGATTAAAGCATTAGTTTAAGCGAGAGAGAGGGAGAGTTCTACCATTTTTTCCCTCAAGAATTGTATAGGAGGCAAAATGATGAGACGAGTCTTACCTGTTTTTCTTTCTCCCACCACAAATTTGCTTTTTCTTATAACAATGAGAGGTGTAGACTGCAATGTCGTGTTTAGAGTGTAAGCAGGTTATCACTTTCAGGTCAATGTTGATGAAGGCACCGATAGAGAAAGTAAACTTGATTATGCAAAGACATTTTAACTCACCATCGATCCAAAGCACACGCTTTGCATGTGTAGCCTAAGTTCTCCACGAATTCCACCCATTTACATAAATCCTGGACCCTACGCATAACTAATGGGTTTGAAGGATGTAAACTTTGCTGCTGGTCGTTGAAGTCCATCGTAATCAAAGCAGGCACAAGTTGCTTATTTTGTCGCTTGACACAGCAATCTCATTTCGTACATATTGATGATGCAAATCTCAGGCGCCAGTCCTTACAGCTTGTCTTTCACTGCTTGAA